TCAGGGGTGACACGTGTACTCATTTTTTTGGTTGATTTTTCTTTGTTAAATGGCATTTAAATATATAAAATAAATATCAGAAATATAAGTCTTTGTTTTACTATGGTTGCAAATATCAAAAAATTTCTATATGTGACACGGCACCAGAGTTAAGTTAGGGTTTTTCAAAATGCTGACACGCCGAGCTCAAAAGGTTCACCATCACTGTTCTAAACGGACCAAATTTCCTTTCCCACCTTTTATTTGATTCATGGGTATTGGCACCTTGGACAGAGGTACAGAAGATCTTTTTGAGCAGCCAAAAGTTTTGGGCCATTTGTGAAAGGGCAGTATTCTAAAAATAAAAAGAGTTCTACACCCAGAGAAAGTGAGAACGAACGGTTCCAAGAAAACCACTTAAAATGGAACGGAAAGTGAGAGATGCAAGTGAACACTGTAATCACCTGACAAGGTAATAGGTGAGGCCGAACTCGGGTAGAGACTGCCATGCCTGAATGAACCGCAGCTTGGCTTCCACCAGGGACATCTGGGCCACGTTCTGGTGGGCCTCCATGATCCGGGCCGCCAGCTAAACAGAGACAAGAGACGTCAAACTCTCCTTAGCATGCCCTGACTGCTCTATAACCATCGATTAGTTCCAGATCGCTGTGAGAAAAATAAAAGAGAGATATACCTGCAGCTTTTCAAATACGAGTCATTCTCATTCTCTCTCTCTCTCTCTTTCTCTCTCTTGGAAATCCCCAGGGAGAAGCTGAAACTAGACCAACCAACACAAGCGCTTCTAAGGTTCATGCAGATGGAGAGTTCTGGGTTCCTCTTTCTGGGGTATTGGGGTGTCCATGGATTCAGTACTTGATTCAGTTTATCTGTTTGACTTTTTAACCCATGCTTATGGAAGCATAATTAAAAATTTTAATTTTTATGGACTAAATAATTTTTATTTATTTAAAAAATATTTTTTATTGATTTCAGAGAGGAAGGGAGAAGGAGAGAGAAACATCAATGTTGAGAGAGAATCATTGCTTGGCTGCCTCCTGCATGCCCCCTACTGGGGATGACGCCAGAAACCTGGGCATGTGCCCTTGACTGGAATTGAACCTGGGACCCTTCAGTCTGCAGGCCGACACTCCATAAGCCAAACCGGCTAGGGCCTTATTTTTAATTAAACTATATCAGGGCATATTGCTATATTCAATTAGCGGTACAGATGCCTCTAACATAATTAACAATAATTTCTTAATATCATCTAATACCCAGTCTATAGTCAAATTTGCCCATCAACTGATTTTTCATGATGATAGCCTCAATCATTTTAATTCCTCTTTTTATTTCAGAAAAGACAGAATTCACTGCAAACCATTACCCCAACAAGATTAGCAGTACCTGTTTAGACTTGTGTTTTCTTGCACACCGGGGTGACACAAAACATTCCGGGTTCATGTCCATGTTTTCAGGACCGGAAGCCACGGAAGATGTTGAGTTCCGGTTTTTCATCCTCAGAAAGGAAAGAATGTTGAGGACTTCTGGCTGGTAGGAGCTATCTGCCATGGTTTTGCCCTTCGATGCCAAGATACAGGCAGCCATCCACTGGGCATACTGGTTCTCCTGCAGCAAACACAGGAGGGCTGAGAAGGAAGTTCAAGTCCTGGGAACAGCAGGACTTGGGCTTTCATCTTTGTAATACAAAACTGTCACCCTCCGAGCATAGAAAGATTAAAGTGGCATATGTTCCGAGTGGCCATTGTTCACCTAACTTAACACCCAGCAATGGCCTTTGATTCTTGTGTTGAATGTCTAGTTAAGGGGCTAGAGAATAGCAATATCAGTCTTGCTAAATTCCACGAATTTGAAGATGAACCAAGGATGTGTGCTATGGAACACAGACAGCTGAAACCCTCAAGTACCAGACACCCTTCCTTCATATAGATTTCCATTTTCAGATCACATCTGATCTCTCTGACAGAACAAGAAAAAAAATCATGAACTGATTTCCTATATTATTTCTACCCTGGCCTATCGTTAGTAAAGGCTAGTCCATAGTAGGAATCAGGTCCATTGATGAGCTCTGAACCAGAGAGGGTGCCTCCTATCTGTCTGCATTTTTCTAACCTTAGGGAGCAAAGAGGAGTGGTCCCAGAAGCCGAGGGGATGCAGCTGAAGAGTGAAATTCTTCAGAGCAACAGTAGGTGTGGTCCATTGACTCACCGGCCTCAATCTCCACACCCGTTGCCATGTAATTTTACAGTCCCTCCCACTACAGCCAGAGTGTCATTACCCCCACTTGATGTTGGGCCCAGCAACGAGGCTTGCTTTGGCCAATGGAATAAGGGTGGAAATGACCAATTGCAAGCCTCCATGTTAGGAGGTCTCATCTGTTTCCAGTTGCTTTCTTGCAT